AGATCCCATGGTAGTTCTATTTTTAATTTTTTGAGGAACTTCAATACTGTCTTCTCAAATGTCTGTGCCAATTTACATTCCCATGAACAGTGTACAAGGATTTCCTTTTCTCCACATCCTCCCCAACACTTATCTTTTGACTTTTGGATAACAGCCACTCTTACAGACGCAAGGATATATTTCACTGTGGTTTCGATTTGCATTTTTCTGATGATTAGTAGTGTTGAGCATCTTTTCATATACATGCTGTCCATTTGTATGTCTTTTTTGGAAAAAGGTCTACTTAGATCCTTTGCACATTTTTAAATCAGGTTATTTGTTATTTTGCTATTCAGTTGTTTCAGTTCTTTATATATTTTGGCTATTACTCCTTATCAGATGGATAGTTTGCAAATACTTTCTACCATTCTGTAGGTTGCCTTTCCATTTTGTTGATTGTTTCTTTTGCTGTGTAGGAACTTTTTAGTTTAATGGAATTATACTTGATTGTTTTTGCTTTAGTTTCCTGTGCTTTTGGTGCCAGATCCAAAACATCATAGCCAAGACCAATGTCAAGATGCTTTTCTCCTATGTTTCTTCTAGGAGATTTATGTTTTCAGGTCTTACATTTACATATTTAATTCATTTTGAGCTGTTTTTTGTGTATGCTTTAAATTAAGGGTCTATTTTAACTCTTTTGATTAATTCCACCTGACTTTTCGTTGCAACTCTGTCATTTTATCTCAAACCATGGCACTCTAATATCATACTATTTAAACTCATTATTTCAAGAAATTTTCAGCAAATATATGTATATAGATATACATACATATATATATACACACACACACACACGAACTTTACATCTATAAGAAAATATATAAAATGTATTTGCATAGATTATATCAATCAAATATCTCTCAGAGGAAAGAACCAGTTAAACTGAAAAAAAGTTAAGTAGAAAAGAGAACAAAGAAGAAGAAAAGGAGAGCAAGTATCACTACTTCCCCGCGTGCTCAAAACTATTTCCTTCCCCTTACTTGCTTCATCAGAAAGTATCAGGAAGTGCTGACTCTCTTTTCAAAAAACTCTCCTGTACTTCTCTATCACAAATTTCTAAAATCCCACTAGAATATAATTGTTTTTTAAAAATTTTTTTAATGGAAGGCTCTTTGGGAAGAGTCATGAGTTAATGAGTTACTAAAATGTTCAGTATTATGATAGTCATTAGAGCTTTTTTATCTTCTTTCCTGTTCTTCTTTCCTTCTTTCTTTCATTTTTATTTTTTTATGTGGAGGTATCATGGCACCCTAGAATCTATCAGGAGGACCAGGTTCTTGACAAGGTTGTGCTTCTGACTAACTCCTTGACCTTGAGAAGATCAATTCCTCACTCTACTTACTAGTTCATTCACCTGACAAAGAAAGGGTTCACTCAGATCATCTCTAAGGTAGTCTTCACTTTTAACATTTCTGTGACTAAAAAATATACTTGTGTGAGTTTGGAGCCTGAGCAATCAGTAGGTAACTCTTCAGAGAAACACTTACAGCAAAATGCTAACTTAAACGGTTCTTAGCCATGTAAGACTGACTTAGTTATGGCGATCTGGTTTCTAACATTCTGGGAATCCAGTTCCACTGCAGCTTCTCTTGCCATCATCCCTAGCTTACCAATGGTAGCATCTGCCTAGCTTTACGAGGATGTTAATGACTAAGCAGTGCATTTCTTAATGCCTTAATGCAACGAATGTCCTCGGAGCCCTTGGATGAGTAAGGCGGGCAGTGAGGAGGGTGATGATTAGGCAGTGGCAGAGCAGATTATACACAATGGACCATTTACAATACCCTAATCTTCCTTCAGACTTCTTCTGTAGTACACCAAGTTGGTCTGGCATTTTGACCTCAATGACTGTAGATTAGCTTCTTTGAGTTCAAGATTCAGTTAACCAGCCTTATGAATTATTAATATCCTTCTAGGCATTCAAGCTGTCACATTAAGTCCCAAATCCATGGTAAATGTGCCTGGGGTGTAAATGTATAATAAATTAGCCATGTGAAACAATATTTTAGTGTCCTTTATCTCACGTTCTTAGAATTCATTCCTGTAGATGTTCCCCACTCTCTTATCAGTAGGGACAGGTGAGTTCCTGTAAATCTCACATCAGGTTTCCTATGTCACTATTTGGGTTATATTGATTTTTAAGTTTCACCATAAGCCCACAAGCAATATGGGGTGATGGGACTGGGTGTTAAGAAGAATTATATCTGCATGCATGCAACTGCCTCAGGTGTAGGCAATAAAAGGCTATCTTCCAGGGGATGTTCTTATTCCCTTAGATGAGAGGAAGGAACTTTTTCAAAAGAGACTTAGGAGGATTTGAGATTCAAAATTCTCAGACTTGCCCTTCTCTGCCCAAATTCTCCTATCCTATATCTCAGAACCTCAGTCCTTCCCAGCTAGCACTCTTAAATTTCCATGAAATACCTACCAAAGTTAACCATTTATTGGGGGAGGCAACTCTACAATGATAACAATCATGCCATGACACTGGTCCTCAGCTATAGCTTATCAAGCACCACAGGAGATAAAGACTCCTTCACAGCTATAATTTAAACTTCCTGGCTGGCTGTTTGTTTTTTCAGTAGGAGAGTCACATTCAGCAGAAGCCAACTCACCACATGATATTTATAAGCTCTATTTGCATGCCTCTGTGCCACAGAAAGCTGATCTCTCAATGTCTTCTCTGCACTCGTCCTTCATTCCATGATGACATTGATGATCAGTTAAGCAAGCTGAATGCCACTAGATGTCATAGATCATCAATGTCCCATTTCCCACCACCATAAGTTTATATGTCTAATCTTCAAACATGTGAGCAATCCAATTCCATTTGAATGTTTGTTTTCTGGGACTAGTGCTAGGACAAATAACATATATAAACCTAGCAGGTAGCAGTTGGTTAACTAAACTAGTTAATTCCAGAAGGGATTAATAAAGGGATTATTACAAAGAAATATGAGTGGTGTATGGGATTCCCCAAAAATGGTGTAATAGCTCTAGAACTAGTAACTTCTGAGAGGCATTCCTTCTCTATCCCTGAAGGAGCAAGAAGAGAGAGAGGTTATCAGTGCTGGAAGGAGAGCTTTGAAAAAGGGTCACCTGGAAGGAGCTATGGTCTAGGTCTGGGGATGCAGCCAGCTGTGGCATGTCTGCAAGCAAGGAGCCTGGGGAAAAACACTCTAATATCACCCTCTTCCCTGCTACTGACAACCACTGGCTAAACCCATTAAGTAGATAGAGAGCAAAGGAGTCCCCTGATGCAATTAACACAGTTAGAATCCTGGAGCAAACAGGAGTTTAAAAGGGTGGAGAATGGATTTGGATGGACAAAAGAAAGGTCTTCAATTTATAACAAAAAGATCAGTATCATCGAACTTATGTGCTTTAATACACAGATGTCTGCATATGAATGTCTACAGTATGTAGAATATATGTGCGCACATATGTTTACTGTAGCTTCTACACAACCCAAGAGATAATAAGAATGCAAATTCTTACTGAATACATTTTCACTAGGGGTTTGTAGCCTTAAAAAAAATTTCCCTATCTTATTAAATCATACCCAATTTGTCAACACATATTTTCTTTAATTGCTATGTAAGTTATTTCCCAAGCTAGGAAATCTTGAGGGTTGCAGGTATCTACCACCCTGGGGATGCAGAAACCGATATAAACAATTCTGGGACAGGCATATTTGAATGTGTTGAAGAGACGATCTTGGTCAGAATTTTAGGTGAGTTGTCTAATTCACATGTTAAGGGCTTTATCTTCATACTCTAAGACATATATTTTTGCCAAATTGTTCTCATTAAGGTTAAATTCCTTAATAATAAAACAAATAAAACCAATAAAAATTTTAAATAAAGTGTAAGTTTCTAGTACTACATTATTTATGTACTATGTATGTATGTATATATATTACTTACATTTAAATTGGCTCTTTAGATTGTTGTTATATATTATATTTTTACTGTATAATACGTATAAAATACAGTTAATCTTGTGTACTTTATAATCCCATCCATTGCATATTATCTTCTATACACATTTTTTTCCAAACATCTGTATGTATCCTCTTTCTTTCCGTTTAATGTCCTGGGCATGTTCTTAAGCCTATAGATACTACGATGAGATATGGAGTTATAGTAGCTGTAGGATGTTGCAATAGATGGAAGCACTGATAGAAAAATACTTCATTCTTTAAAAAATAGGTGAGTCCAGTGTTTCAGACATAAACAAATAACACTTGAAACTAAGAAGCCACACATTTAGCAAAAGAGCAAGTTGATATTATGAAGACCAAAGTACAAGAAAATAGAAACTGTAAGTGCATCTTTCCTTTAGTGAAACAGCCGTTCGTAAAGAAAAAAATAACCGACTTTGGAAATTTGGAATTTAATATTATTCAAGTCATTTAAAAGGAAGCCATTAGACTGAGGTAGGTGGCTCTTACACCTTGACAGCCTACGTAAGCAAACCAATACATAAGACAGAGTCAATGCAGTTGAATCTGAGAAAATGAAACTTGAGAACAAGCAGTCACAAACAGCCAGCTGGGTTTCCCTAAAAAAGGTAACCACATAAGCTATAGCCAATCAATTAATTTCCTTGCTTTGCTTCCACTTCTCTGTAAAGACCTCTCCCCTAGCTACTGTAGGTGGAGAACTCCTAACCACATTCGGTTTGGTGCTGTCAGATTCAAATCAATGTATGCTCATATAAACTCTTGAGAATTTATATGTACCTAAATTCATCTACTAACAACATATAATTGTAAATTCTGAGGAGTTCGTTGCAAAATGAGAACTCTTTCTAAAATAAGCACTTATATTACTGAATCTTAGACTTCAAGGTATACCAGTGATGCAATGTTACTTATGTAGCATATTTTCTATTTATTCAGCACAATGATTCAAACTGAACTCTCATTTCGCTTCTCCTAGGTGAGATTCCCTAAAGCCATGGAGAGAAGCAATCACACAGCGACAGAGTTCATCCTGCTGGGCTTCACAACAGATCCCATGATGCAGCTGGTCCTGTTCATTATGTTCCTTGGTGTGTACTCTGTGACTGTGGTAGGAAATACCACCCTCATAATATTGATCTGTAATGACTCCTGGCTGCACACACCCATGTATTTTTTCATTGGGAACCTGTCTTTCCTGGATCTCTGGTATTCCTCTGTCTACACCCCAAAGATCCTAGTCACCTGCATCTCTGAAGACAAAAGCATCTCCTTTGCCTGCTGTGTAGCTCAGTTCTTCTTCTCTGCTGGGCTGGGGTATAGTGAGTGTTACCTGTTGACTGCCATGGCTTATGACCGATATGTGGCCATTTCCAACCGCCTGCTTTATGCTCTGGTCATGTCAAGGAGATTGTGCATCTGTTTGGTTATATATTCCTATACTGGTGGTTTTGTCAATGTAATAATACTTACCAGCAACACATTCACATTGAATTTTTGTGGTGACAATGACATTGATGACTTTTTCTGTGATGTCCCACACCTGGTGAAGTTGGCATGTGATGTGAAAGAGAGCTACCAGGCTGTACTGTACTATCTCCTGACCTCCAAGGTCACTGCCCCCACTGCGCTCATACTGGCCTCCTACCTCTTCATCATTGCCGCCGTCTTGAGGATCTGCTCCACCCAGGGTCGCCTCAAAGCCTTCTCCACATGCTCCTCCCACTTGATCTCTGTCACCTTGTACTACGGCTCCATTCTCTACATCTACTCTCGCCCAAGTTCCAGGTATTCCCTTGAGAGGGACAAAATGGTTTCTACATTTTATACTGTGCTGTTTCCCATGTTCAACCCCATGATCTACTGTCTGAAGAATACAGATGTGAAAGGGGCTCTGAAAAAACTTTCCAGGTTAACACAATCTGAAGTCTAAATTGACATAAATTACTCAAACGAGTACTCGGTGAAAATGGACTGCTTCCGTGGAAGGTTGGGGAACTGGATTAAAAAATGCTTTTTTTTCTCTTCACAGAAATCCAGTGACAGAGATATTATTTCTTGTATTAGTTTGTTGTGTTTTAGTGATTGAACTATATATGGTAGAGTATAGATTCAATTTAATATTAATATAGTTTTTTAGAAAGCAGCCATCAGGGTTTAGCACAAAATAGAAGTGTACATATTACTTCTGGGATCCCAAAGGATTACATTTTACTTAACTATCTACCCTGCGATTGACTCATTTTTTTTCCCTACATAATGAGCGTTACAAGAATGTGAAGAAAATGTTACATGGATTCTTGAGGTTTGTGCAATACACCCCAATCCTTCTTGTCCCATACCTACAGAGCTTCTGTAGTAATGGAAGAATAAGAAATGGTAAGAATTTTGTGATGAAAAGAGAGACGGCAGTGATGAGTTAAATAATAAATGCAGATGAAAAGAAAGATCACAAAAGTCAGAGCTAATATAAATGGTGAGGTGGCTATGGCTATTTGTTCTAAAATTTTAATTTAAATGCAGTTTATAAATGTGCTCATTACAACAATAACTATAATCTTTCAATAACAAACTTCTGACTTCTTAGGCTCAGACTAATCATTCATCAAGTGTAACTAATAATCCTTAATTTGTAGCATTGTTATAAAGAGTATTGAAAAAAATATTAACTAAACCTGCCACAAACTGAATATTAGCTGTAAGTTTCTTCGTACTTAAAATCTACTCATGGGGAAAAAATAAACAAGCACTGAGTCTAGAATATAGTGGGTTTTTGCTTGCTGATTTGTTTGTTCTAGTTTGATCCCCTTGATATTACTTTGTTTCATAGGGAATATGGAGCAGCATGGAATGAGAGACAGGATGACAGAGTACTCATTCTCTGTGGAAGAGATCACTCTTTTATAGTGATATACAATCCTAAAGTTTTGGGTGTGTGTGTGTGTGTGTGTGTGTGTGTGTTGGTAATCTAAACAACTCTTAAAGATTTGCCTAATATTAAATTGATACAGAATGCAAAAAGTTTACAAAGATGTTTTCAATATACTCATTTAGAGCATTATAAAGGAATTTGGAGGGAATGCTTTATGAAGAAATAAGTATTTGGAAAATCTTGAGCAAATTTCCACCACTTTAACCATTCCAAAGGTTTTTCCCCACACAATAAAGTTTGCTTGCCAAACTTCAAAGTCAAACTATACCCACAAAAACCATCTGATTCTTCTTTTCTCTTTCCAAATCCCCCAATGATCATCAAGAAGATAAATTTTAAAAAATCTACTACTGCAAAGTATCAATATTGTGTGACATCCAACAACCCAATATTATAGGTTTAAAATATTGTAATTAGAACAAAATAAAAATAAACAAGAGTGGTTTAATGTTTCATTGTTTTAAGTACAGTTTGTTGAATTTACTTGAAACATTGTAACGTTTTCAAATATGTGTACAACCAAACATTTGGAAAATACTTTTAGAGCATTCTGCAAAAAGATGACCTTTTTCTCTCTGGCCTTATGGTCTGCATTGCTTTCCAGAAGGCCTCTTTGACGTCTTTGTTTTTCAGGCTATAGATGAGAGGGTTGAGCAGTGGGTTGACCACAGTGTGGAACAGAGAAGCCACTTTGTCTTTCTCAAGGGAGTAGGTGGAACTTGGCCTTGAATACATGAAGAGCAAGGATCCATAGAAAAGCGTGACTGAGATTAGGTGAGAAGCACAGGTAGAGAAGGCCTTGTACCTTCCTGAGGCTGTTTGAACCCTCAGGATAGTCAGAAAGATGTTGAAAGAAGAAATCAGGATGGTCAGAATACTGGAAAGGACCATGAAGCTCATCACACCCAGGAGGACTTTTTCATAGACCTGAGTGCCTGTACAAGACATTTTTACCAATGGTGGTGTGACACAGAAGAAGTGGTCAATGATATTTTTACCACAGAAACTCAGTGGAAAGTGTTGGCAGTATGGGCTACAGCATTCAAGAACCCTCGTATGTAGGAGCCAGCAACGAGTCCAGTATAGAGAGAACTGGACATGGTACTTGAATAAAGTAATGGGTTACAGATGGCCACATGGTGGTCATAGGCCATGACCGCTAGGAAATAACACTCAGCGTAGGTGACAACACAGGAAAATAACAACTGGGCTCCACATCCAGCCAAGGAAATGCACTGATCTTCCGAGACACAAATGGCCAGGATTTTGGGAGTATACACAGAGGTGTACCAGAAATCCAAAAAAGACAGATTGTCAATGAAAAAATACATAGGTGTGTGCAGGTGGGAATTGATACGGATTAAGACAACCAAGGTCATGTTCCCTGACAAGGTTATCAAGTAGAGCATGAGAAATATTCCAAATAGAATCAGCTGCCACCGAGGTTTTGCTGAGAAGCCCACCAAGGTGAATTCATTCAGTCAGGGTGGTGCGATTTCCAACTTCCATATCAACAGAGGAGAAAGTCTGATAAAGATTATGAGAAAAAAAGTCATTTAGTATTTTTCTATTGAAAGAAATAAACAGAGGTATCAATTAAGTCAACAATTACTAGAGGCTTATGGACTTTTATCCATTATTATCTAAAATGATATAACTTCAGATTGCGACTTGCGAACCACTGGAATTGGAGTACAATCTGATTTTGGAATTAGGACTTTTACTTACCAATTGTTTAATGCAAGGCAAGTCCCTTAGTCTCACCAAACACATGAGAACAATGAAGCCCCCTGACAGGTTGTCTAAATGAGTAAATAATATAGACATCAAAACACCCAGCCCAATGTTCGGCACATAGCGAGCACTCAAAAAATTTGAGTATCCTTCACTTATTATTGAGAATTTATGATGTCAGGCATTGTGCTGGTAGTTATACAAAAAACAATATAGTGTCCTGCTACTGTTACTATTAGTACAAATAGAAAATATATATATATATATTACTACTACATACAGATGGTATCCTGAGTCCTATACTTAACCCACTTAATCCTCCCCACAACTTTACAAGGTAACTTCTATTATGATGCTCATGAATTTTAGGAAATATTTTCAACATCACAGAATTAGTCTACAGCAGAGCTGGTATTTCAACCCAGCATTATCTTAATCAAGGACATATGCTCTCAAGTGTTAAGTCATTTGTGTCTTTTATAGGTGAATTATTTTCTCTCTTGTTCTCCTAGCTAAGGCAATCCTATCATCTTCTGACAACCTGAATTTCATCACCTATTGAAAACAGCTTTAAAAGATTCTTTTTTTAAACACTATTTTTTTTGCACTCTTCTCTAGTTGATGTGAGGTTTATGTACGGAGCTGAAGCCTTTTTTCACATAGTGGAAGCTGAACCTTAGGAAGATCCAAATTTTGTTGTCAAGGATATATTGAGACACCATGAATCCTTTAAAGTTGAAGTTCTGAAGCTCTCAGAGAGAAGCTAAAAGGAGGTATCTAACATAAAACATTACAGAATTAGAGTTGATGCCCCAGTAGTCGGCTGACCTTCCCCCTAGGTACAAAGGCCGTGGGAGAAAGCTAAAACTAAGAGGACTGTGATTTACTTCAATGTTTAAAACATTTACCTTTGAACTAAGCCAGAGTCAATGGTGTAACTAGAATGCAAATCCAAGTTTTCTACCTCAGGGTCTACTGTTCCCACTTGTTAGTTAGTGAGGTATCTTAATCTTTCAAATGTAAGTGATGATGTTCAGAGAGGATGTGACTTCATTGATGACACTATGGGAAAAGCAGCTTGGAGTCCTGAAGACCATTCCGTTTATTTATTAGTATATATTGGATCTTTTCTCACTAGCACACAAAGCACTGATACTTTAGGCATACACACAAGGTTCTATAAACTGGCTCTAACTTACCTTTTTGTGTGTGTATGTGTGAGGAAGATCAGCCCTGAGCTAACATCCATGCTAATCCTCCTCTTTTTGCTGAGGAAGACCGGCTCTGAGCTAACATCTATTGCCAATCCTCCTCATTTTTTTTCCCCAAAGCCCCAGTAGATAGTTGTACGTCGTAGTTGCACGTTCTAGTTGCTGTATGTGGGACGCCGCCTTAGCATGGCCGGAGAAGCGGTGCGTCGGTGCACGCCAGGGATCCGAACGTGAGCCGCCAGCAGTGGAGCAGGCGCACTTAACTGCTAATCCACGGGGCCGGCCCTCTAACTTACCTTTATAAACCTCTCTCTCACCACTTGTCCTCATTGATTTAGTACTTCAACCAAACTATATTACTCACATAGATTTCCCCATAATATTCTCACACATCTTGAGAGTTTCACGGTTATAGTGTTATGCTGTTATTCATTTGTACAATACAACTTTTTTCTCAATATGCTGAAGCTTGAGTAGTATTATCTTGGCATGAATGTGTATATTTCATACTGATAGTGTATATAATGATGGGTTATAGCCACCATTTCAGTAGTTACTATGAACCTTCTCTGCTATGTTATCACTTGTCTGTACAAGGAAAAATATCTGGTACTTACTAAGTTCATTTTTAATACAATATAATTTTGGGAAAAAAATGAAATATCAGCACAGAGCCAATTACTACTCCTCTACCACTACCGTCTAAAGAGGTAAAAAGCTGATAAAAAAACAAAATTTTGATCTAAGCTCAAAGTCTTCAAAGAAGAAGAGATAGTTAAATAAGACCTGAAGAATGAGCCCAATGGCAGCCAGTAGTCAGGGTAAAGAGACAAGGGAGAGCAGTTCCATGAGAAGAAGCACTTATAACAGACCCCTCCATTGAGAGAGTCTGCTGAATTCAAGGAGCTGAAAGAGGCTAAAGAAAGATTGGAATGGAGAGGGAAAGAGGAATGAGCTACAAGAGACAGTAGCTCACAAAGCTTACTGAGAGCCATGTTAAAGATTTTGGCCTTTAATCCAACAGAGATGAAAGTCATTGCTATTATGAGGAAGTAG